AAAAACCCGCTAGGCCCGCGAAGCCCACGAGCCCGGCCCGTTAAGCACAGGACCATGTGGGCTTAGGCCCGTCACGGGCCGGTTCCACCCATTAGGCCCACGAAGACCGGGACCGCCAGGCCCGGGACCGCCAGAGCCCGGGACCACGAAGCCCGGGACCGCGAGGCCCGGCCCGTTAGGCCCACTAAGGCCCGGGCCCGGGACAAAATACAGCCCTACTGTTGAATACCAGAAAGATCTCCTAAATCTCCTGTACTAATTCCTCTAAATAAATCATGAAAACCAGCTTCAAGTTGTAAACCCGATTTCGAATATAATAAATGAAAAGCCATACTTGGTCTCCATCCTCCAATCCATAAAAATGCATCTTCAAGATTACTTCTCCATGTTGGATTTAACATGCCTAAAACATCTTCTTTGGCACTTCTTGATTTTTCTTTGTAATAATTCTCGTAGTGTTGTATAACACGTTGAATTATAGGCGATAACATTATCCGATTGTTTTCTTCTATGCCATTGACTTCTTTTGAGGCACGCACAAGCTGGTCCAAATCTTGATTTTGTTCAACAAGCCATGACTCGAAAAACTTGTGAAATGTCTCGCGATTTTGAACCGCGTTTCTACTATTGTTGCTCATCAAGTGTTGGTCCATGGTTTATATGCTGTTGGAAAAAAATAATACTCCTATTAGAGATGGAAGTACTAAACTACTAATTTAAAAAAAATCACTTCATAAATAAATAAGATGCTAGAATTGACAAGAAAAGATACTGTTTTGAGGGCATCTTTTTCAGAAAATGTTGTGTCATTTAAACTATAGGAAAATTAAAATTTCAGAACAAGTATATATGAGTAAGTGAACATACCTGTTTGTTTGCATGTGAAAAGAAAATTTAGATTTTGAGAACAAGGTTGAAGATATTTATATTAACGGTAGAGAAAGGTGACAAGAAGTAAAAACCAGAGCAGAACCGGTGGGCTAAGTAATAGCTAGTTAGGACTCAGTATCTGGCTGGACTTTATAGTTTATATTAAAGGTTTATTGAGTTCTGTTCATTGTATCTGTGCCTTGAAACATACATCCAATAGTCAACCACACTATTTTGGTACTACTTACAATTCTTTCCGTATCAATGACGTAATTTTACCCGGTACAGAGTTTAAGAAAAATAAGGTAATTTTTTAAATTTGTGGTCAAACTATGCTTTCAAAATATTAAGGATAAAATAAAAAATATAAAATAAATATATATTTTTAGCCGCTTTCACAAATAATAGCCGATAAAATATATATTGTTTGTATATATGTATAATATATATATCGTCTAGCAAATTCTATTAGTTACAGCCGACCGGCCAGTTTTGCATTTTGCCCAAAATTTAAAGTTAAGTTGTTTCTTAAATATAGAATTTTATCATTCTTTTTGAAATTGACTAATAAGGAATAGTGTCACATTTTATATTTAAATAAATTGCTGACCGAAATTTACTGTTTACTTTTAACCAGTATATATAAATTATATATTGATTGTATACGATTATATATATATTGTTTTAGATTATACATATATTATACGTCTGACCGCCGTTTTTAATTTAAGATAAGATGGACAACTATTAGGTTAATTCTACTAAATTAAAATGGAGGGAGAAAGTTTTTTGTTCACCAGCAACAGACTGTATTTTCCACAGAACTTTTATTTTTAGCACCACATACTGTGTTAGTCCACAGAACTTTTTTCTTATACGACAAGCGATAAATTAACCAAACCCTAAATCTCTCCTTATGATATTTTCTTGCAATGACGAATGAATTTAACTTGAGGCCTACCTCACCTTGTTCTGTCCATAGTTGAGGCTAGAGGTATTCAAACCGAATCGAAAAATCGCACCAAATCGAAAAATTAAAGCAAATCGATTAAAAAATCCGACTAGGTTTGGTTTGATTTGGTTTGTATTGAATAAAAAAATCCGAACCAAACCGAAATATAAATATATAAATTTTATTTATATTTTCATGAGTTTATAGTGATTTTTCTTTAGAAAATGTAGAAATATTTGGGATCCTCTCATGTATTAACCCTGAAAGCGTAAATTAATGAAAAATTATTGTTAGACGACTAAGAAAATAACTATCATGTGTTACTAAAAAAAAAATCCATTAGAATTGTTGTTGTTGTATATGTTTGTCAATTTTTTCCATATTTACTAAACATATATTCACTTATCAAAACTTTATCTATAATTTTAACAAAGTAATATTCATGTAACAAAAAAACCCGAAAACCCGAAAAATCCGACAAAACCGAACCAATCCAAACCGATATAGTTGGTTTGATTTGGTTTTGATAAAAACCGAACTAACCCGGTCCATGTACACCCCTAGTTGAGGCTGAGGGTTCGAACCCCATTAATAGCGTAATATCCCCTCTCCTTCTCCGACCCCCTCTTTTTATATATTTATAATTTCAGGAAAAATAGTGCACGGCCATTCAAATGAAGAAAGAGAATTATTTTGTACTCGCTCCGGTTCACAATAAGTGAGTAATTTATCTTGGGCACACCTATTAAGAAAATATTAAATTCTAGACAAAAATGGTTAGTGTGACTAAACTATAAATATTACAGCATAATTTAATGTGAGAAGTAAAAGACTTTTTAGAAATACGTACATAAGGGTAATTTTGGAAAAATAAATTAAATTTTTTCTTGATTATATAAATGGACACTTATTTTGGACTAAAATAAAAAACCAAATTGATCAGTATTGTGAATCCAAGGGAGTAATAACTTGAGTTCCGGCTAATTTTCCATGTCTTAATTAATTTTATGTTGAACCCGTATATTTATGGTTGAACTAATTCTAGAATAGTAGAGTATTTGTTCTTTTAAAAACTTAGATCAGATGCCTTGCAGACTTGCAGTGATAAGGATGATTATTATTATTATTAAGCTGTTTGAAAACTATATATTTTATTCCCTCTATTTAATTCTTGAGATACAGCAATACAAAATAGGGTGATGCAGTAAAAGATAAAATCATACAAGAACGACAAGATCCAGATGTCTTCATTTTTCAAATGGGAAGTACTACAACTGGAAAATACAACATACAAAGTCGAAATTTCTGTAAGCACAATTTGCATTGGCGGTGAATTAAAAAAAAAAAACTTTAATCAGGATTCATATTTTTGTTGGCAAACTTATTAAATTCTTACTATATAATATATATATATATATATTGCAAATTATGGGATTCTGAACCACAACAAGTGGGCATGCATAATACTCCTCGTTTAACGTTAATCTTATCTAAAGGTGCAACATCGGTCAATCGTCAGAGTCTCAAATTTGCACCGATTATTGTGCCTGTCATGATGTTGTTTATTCCACTACTTTTCTTATGCCAATTGGACTTGAGCTGGTTCTTGGCTACTTGTAATTTATATTTTTTTCAAATCTATCTATATATCTATCTATCTATGTTACGGTAAGAGTACAAAATCTCTTAGCAAAATGTCATTGTTTGTATTTTTTATTTTTTTAAAATTAAATTCACACTAAACAAAATAATCATTTAATTAATTTCTTAATAATTAGAACTTTAAAATTAATTAAAATTTTGGCTATTAAATCTTTTTTTATTTAAATTATGTAAAGACTCCTAATATTTAGGAATCCAGATCGACAAGAGTTTATTTATATAAATTCTTTCCCAAATAAAATATATTTTTGCATATAAATATTAAAACGAATAATTTATCTTCTCTATTACTTATATAATAATTTCTCTTGCTTGTAAAAGTTCTGAACTACTTTAATGTTAATATAATATTCCTGATGGCTCCAAAAAAAAAAAAAAAAAATTTCGACAGCAATAAATTAGTTGTGTTTGAAAGCTCTCTCATTTTTTAGTTGATTTGGATTTGAACTTTCTTCTTTTTCTTTATATATTTTACTTTTGCATTGCCATAAACAAAAATTCTTGTACAATCTATATCTATCTATACTATATTAAAAGCATGAAACCCCTTAGCGAAATGTCGTTCGCCTTTTTTATCCTTCAAAGTGCACTCTATAATGGATAACATTGTAAATACACATATAATACTCTTTTGGAAAAAACAAAATTATTGTACGATAAAGAGGATTATAGTTAAGAAAAGAAGAAGTAAACTCTTTTAATTAGAATCCCTAATTTTACTCTAGCAAAGAGTGTAGAAACCGTCCCTTCATATCATAGCTTAGTGGGAAAATCTAAATTTTCGTAGATTAAAAAGGAACAAATTAAGACAATATATAATTAGAAAACTCATTATTTAATATCTTATTAAAGAGGTCAAAATTTCCATACTTAAAAGGGAAAAAGGAATAAAACAATAAATATGAAACTCATTATTTTATTTTTATTAAAGAGGTCAAAATTTTCGTACATTAAAAAGGAAAAAGGAAAAATACAGCACATAGGAAATTCATTCTTTAATATGCCTATGAAAGAGTGTAAACCAAATCCCTTAATATCCCAATTTTTTATTTTTCAGGACACTTTTTATTAGTTTTTTGCTTGGTCAATGCTGGCAGACATGAATGAAGAAAGGTACAAAATAAAAAAGAAGAAGAGATTTTTACTTATTTATATTAATTTTAAAACTCATTTACCTTCACTATTGAGGTTTTAACTCAATTACAAGTGCATATACAAATTAAAAATTTTATATAAAATAATGTGTTATATTCTAATCTTCCATACTTTCTCTCCCTCTTTCACCCCAAAGCTAAAATTATAAATTAACAGATCAATATTTGGCCTCTTTCTCCTCAACTTCAGCCATACTTTAACTAGAACAAAGAGATTTGGCATCAAGCAAATCTATTATGTTTTCTCTTTCTTTTTATTTTCTGTTTTTTTTTTTTATGTTAAANCCCTTACACCCTTGATGAGGATATTGAAGCGCTTGCTAAGCAAGACGAAGCGCTCAATATGTTTTTGCTCCATGCTTCAGGGCTTAAGTGTGGCTTTGACTACTCTATGCTCAACACCCCTATCAGTCTAATACGAGCCTATTTGACTAAATTCTAAACAAAAAAAATGAGCTCGTTTATGCTGCTATAGTATTTCTTATTGATTATTAAAGAAATAAAATCATTTATATTTTGTTTGCGAGAAAAACTTGTGAAATTGTAGTAACGAAAGTATATATCTCGAATAAATTTTAAGTTAAAAATATTGACTAAGATGGTCGAGGATTTCTATTATTATTGCTTCTTCTTTTATTGAGTTAGCTAAATAGGATAAACAAGTATCATTTTTCTTAGGAACTTATACTTTTTCTTTGACTTTTATTTATAACTCAAACACAAATTTTTAATGTAATATTTATGTGATTTTTAAAATTACGTACTTACTAAGATATAATACACGTGTAACGCGCGTATTCTAAGACTAGCGAAATAATATATTAAGGGCACAAGGCCCTTAGCGAAATGTCGTTCGTCTTTTTTACCCTTTAAAAATAAGTATCATATTGGATAAAATATGTAATTTAACTTACTTTCCTAATAAAATCAAGTAAAATTTTGAATTATTACCTAATATTTAGGAGTTCGAAATCAACTAAATAAGGATAAAATATATTAAGAAAAAAGAAGAGAATATAAAAAAGTAAAGGGTAAGTTTCTTTTCAACCAAGGACAAAAAATATTGTATAATTTTTGTGTAAAATTTTGGGGCTATACAAGGAAATTTTTATCGTGCAAGATCAATTTTGATCTTTTATTTAACTTGTCATACGAAAATATTTTATTGGTTGTTTAAGTTATATTTTATTAAATTGTTTCACAACTATAATTAATTCATGTGTTAATT